AATGCTTTTTATTTTAAAATTATAATAAACTGCCGTCTAGTCCGTCTGTGATATTGAGTTCACAGTTTGCCACTTGCCTGTAGGCGCTGCGGAGGCGCATAAAGTCCATGCTGAAAGTTATAGCGTTATATCCGACCTTTTGAGCTCAGTTAGTTACTTTGAATACTAGCTCACTTGGGAAACAAGAGCCTGAACATAGTTAATAACAGCTGTTCTTTTCAATAGAGCACTTGCGGACGGGTCCCATTGTGTTGCACTGAAGTCTGTGTCGCTATTCACGTTTTAGAGGGTTTTTGTTTTTCGCGAGAACTAAAGAAGACCTGCATGTAAGTTTTCAAAGCGTACGCCTTGACGCTGAATTACCGCTCGGCGACTAGATTCAGAGACTAGTACGTAGAATTTAAAAACTTCCATATTTTCAACTATAGAAATGAATTAGATCAATTTCTTGACTTTCATGTCAGACCAACGCTCCGTTTTTCATTTTATTCAGGTTCGATTTCATTCCTGGAACAACTTGGATGCTTCGATTCATCAGGCTATCTTCGACAGTTGTCAAAAGGTATGTCCAACGTAGGCTTGAAGAATGATGCATTAATACTCTCCCTACGGTTGTATTGGTTGCCTTATAAATATTTGTCCGAATGGCTAGTCGAATATTCAGATGACTGTATCAAGTGGCCACCAGTGATGCATGCGACTGACAGCTGTCCGTTTGTAAGTCACTTATTTCAGTTGATGAGACGGTAGAAGCCGTTGTGTCACAGTTTTGTCACAAAATCGAAGTATTTTGCTTCTACTCTTGTCAACGTTGTATCTGTAATATATGTTTGTCTAATCTTCATGATCAGTAATGTAAATTTATCGAAGAGCTGGGTCAAAACACACTCCCATCACGAACAAAGACACACTGCACCGAAATGTGCTACGAATGGTTTCTTTATATAGCCGAGGTCGATCACGTGAACACGTGTTTAGGAAGTGACAGCAAGTAAGACAGATGCATTTCTTAATGAATCATTGTTTTCCAAGTACATTTGTTTGGACAAAGACTTTCCTGGGTAAACAATTCTTATTACATGCATAATATTACGGATCAATTCTTTTTCGTGTTCACCCCTCACCGCCGTCAGCCTAAAAGCGAGGACCGCCGTGCAATCAAAGGCCAACGCAACCGCCTGCCAGCGTTCGGACCCTACAGTCCATCAAGAAACTGTTATTTCTATATAAAGAAATGATTTCAGTGGAAAGCCGTTTGGTATTTGTGCCTTCCGTGAAAGCTTAAGCAATCTATTTTAATTAAGCCGCTGAAGCACGAGGGCTTTGCGAGCATTGCTTGTCATATTTTAAAATCTAAGTGATGATCAAATGCGGTTAAGAGAAGTGGTTAAGATGAAACGGAAGATCAGAGAGAGAAACTAAAATTCGACAAAGGATTGCGAGGCGAAAACAGAGGTGAGTACAGTAGTACATGCAGGTGCCAGTGATCAAGTGAACCGCCGCTATAAAAATCGACGACATCGGCCGCCTTATAATAAAATTTCAAGTCAAAATCCAGCAAAGTGATTAAGTGCAACAATAAACAAAGGGGCAAATTGATCAAAACAAACCGAGTGGTTTTACGTTCCAAAGAAGGAAACTGAACTGTGTTTGTTGTTAGCGATAGTTCAACTTGAGCTTAAATGATTTGGTTTTTAAATTTGTCTACCCTCCAGTGTCAAATCCCATATGGTCTAGTGGTTAGGATCCGGCGCTCTCACCGCCGTGGCCCGGGTTCGATTCCCGGTGTGGGAACGACTATTTTTCTTTTTCTGCAATTTTTTGTTTTCCTTTTTTGTTATTGTTTTGAATTTTTTTTGCCCTTCAGTTTCTTCATAATAGCTATTAAAAATGACGTCTAAAGAATCAGTCTACGGTTTCGAATAATAATGAATTAACAAGTATACGTGCATGGTCCATTGGTGCAATCGAACGCAATCAAACTTCGATAGATTCGATGTTAGATGTCGAAGTTGGAATACATCTCAATGGGAGTTACACGGAGGAAAATGTGCGTGCTTTACGGAATGTTCCCTTTCTACAGTTTCTCAAGGTATTGCAGACTCCGCTATCTCCACGAAAGCCTTATCACGGTCTTGAGCCATCTTGACGGGTCAAAGCGCGTCAGAAATTGTTGATCCAATGCCTAAAATTGATTTCTGAACAACCTAGGACTAGCAAAGTTAAGATACTAGACAAAGGATTGCATTACCCAAATTTGAGGGATGTAGCTGTGTTAGAAAGCGTGCAGTCGCGTATGTAATTTTTCCTACATTTGTATAGATATTTTTGTTTTCGAAAACGAACAACGAGCCGCCATTTTGAAAATCGTCGAGGAGAAGGCCCTGGGGACGAGGTTGGGCCACGCAGCTATAAATGCGTTCAGTACGGCTCGTTTGCGTTCACACCAAAACTTTTGTTGATTGCGGAAGCCAATTATGTTTTCCGGGAGACAAAAAAAAGCACGTTTCTGAAGTTTTTGAAATATTAAGCTTCCGTGACAAATATTTCCTTGTTTAATTTGGGCGCCAAGGAAACAATTTGGACAACAATCCTGGTTTCCTTGTTTGCGGGCATTTCTTTAAAGTCAAGTCGGTGATTCACTCTTGGAAAACGCAGAAAGCGAAAACTCACTAAAATTGCTTCATATCAACACAAAAAGTGGTTAGACAACAAACAATACACAGTGGAAGTAAGATAAGCCATTTTTATGAAGAGCGTTCTATTATTTCTACCTCCTAAAACTGATCTTAAATATTCTCATGAAAAGTTAAGATATCTTTGCTGTGACCTCTATCACGCAAGATGCTCATCCCTCACAGCTTGCAATTAGAGTCGAAGCAAGGGAATAGTTTATTTTTGCTCCTAGCACAGTGGAAATTACATTTTCGCTAATGTTAGGTGTATTTGCAGGATGGTTTCCTCTCTAAATATGACCTTTACTTAGTTGGAGGTACTTCGAGCGTTTTAGGATGAGTTGTTTTTTCTTTGAAATAGGATATAAGTGTGACATAATCTTTTCAGAAAGCCAAGTTTGTGAAGTACGTTTTCGGAACATATCACAACTTTTGGGATTTACTTACAACAATGAAACTGCAAACGCTCCTTTCGAGACAGATCTTTAATACAACGACTAAGAACTTTTTGGTTAATCGACGAGGCTTCAAAGGAAATTAAAAAAGAAATCTAATGATTGTTTTTCGACTTTTTTTTTTTTTAAACAGAATCGATGCTTAGACGATTTTTCTGAGATCTTCACTTCAACTTCTGTCTCGGCTACGCTGTAGAACAGGCATTTGTTATAATTGGTACATACTTGCAAGAGAGTTGAGAGAGGACTGGCGACCATCACGAGAAAATGCAAACACACCGAAATAAAGAGATTACTTCCACTTTATTTCCAAGTAACATCGTTAAAAATGAAGAAACCATTTCTATGTACGCCGTGAAGCGGGAAAATGTTCCGACAGAGTGTCATCTTGCATCGTCTCCAGGGAAACGCCCCTTGATTGACAGCCGACATGAGATGACCACGCCCTACATGAAGCGCACCAAACAAGAAGATGAATCATGTTTCTGGGAGGATAAAGAAAGTATTTTGCTTTCGAGCAAAACAAGTCTCCAGAGTATCGTCAGTGAAGTGGCTCATTCGTTTGAAAACAATGCGGATATTTACGAGAATATTTCAGCCTCTCAGAGAAGCAAAAAATCTTGCTTGAACAACGTGAATAGGACTTTTTCAACTGAAAAAGACACCGTTGTTTTCCAACATAAAGACGGGGAACCAAAACGCTCTCCTCAAATTGCTGAAGACGTAAATGAAGTCGCAACTGAGCGCGAGAGTCATAAAGCATCGATGCGTTCTGTCGATAAAGGCAAGAGGGAAATATCAGTGCTCTCAATTGCAGACCAAGTTCAAGCTGAAACGACAAAGCCGATTCTAAGGACTATAAAGAGTTCAGACTCTGGAAAAAGCGACGGTTTTGCGTATGATCACAACTTCTTCCCGAAACTTGTCGGTGTTCACTCGATTTCATTACCACTGTCAAGTTCGACAGAAACAGATTTCCAAAGGAAACCTCAATGTTCTCGTCAGCGTCAAAACATCAATGACTACGTTAATGTAGGAGAAGCTGTTGATGCGTATGAAGTGAAACCGTGTGCTTCGTCGCGAGCAGATCAGATTCCTGGAGACTCCCGCAGCCAGTCTCCGTCAAATTCCCAGTCTGAAAAAGAGTACGATCTTTTATTTACCTTTAAGCAAGACGATGGCAAAAACGATATGTTTCTTGTGATAAAAGATGAAGTTTTCTCCGTGAAGCGTTTCGACCATAAAGGAGAATCGTACTTGGTTCACACCGACAATAAGGGAAAGACTTCGATTTTAGCTAGGGCTCCAGAGGAAAGAAAGAGTGGATCACAAGATAGTGGAAGCAAAAGCGAAGCCACTAGACAAAGGGTCTCAACTAATCGAACCAGATCCACCAATGTTTCAACAATCGTTTCTGAACCATCAAGACAAACTTCTCTTCAAAGAACCACTTCGCATCAACCTGTACCTCCATCCGTTAGTAGCCGAACATTACAGAACAGTTATGCCCGGATAGCTGACATAAATGCTCAAGAGACCGCGCCTGCAACTTGCGGTCAGCATCAACTTGCATACGATGACACACGAATGCTTAGACGCCTACTCTCAAATGCGGAACAGAGAGCAGAACCATCCGGGTCGAGGCCACTGTTATCTGCTGGTCAGCAGCGTTTTCTTTCTCAGGCACGAGCTGATAGACATCAAGTCATTACTAACGATTTACTCCAAAATTCAACTGCTCTTGCCATCAGCGCTCCTGCCCAGGCTTCCACAGTTCTAAACACCTCCTCGAACATTTTGCGCAATCAACATTTGATCGCGAATCAAGATTTAGCGGCGAAAAATCAACCAATGCATAATTCAGCTAATGAGTTCAGTCAACAACGACATACGAACACCACGGTCCCGGGACCATACAGTGGATATAATACAGTTAGTTCTGGTAAGCAACGTTATCACCGTGAAGAAATTATCGAGGTAGATAACTACAGTAAACCTACATTTGCCGGTCTTTCTAGCAGAGACGCATCGGAAGCAAACGAGAACCGAATTGAACAGAGAAGGGAATTGATGAGGTACATCACACATCAATTGGCGTCAAGTGGAAACCAGGTCCCTTCAGCGAGCAATTCCTCGGAGCTTGTAAACTTAGTTACCAAAGGACGTGAGGTAGGGAGACAACCTTACAGCGAGAATGCTACAATGGGGACTGGTTCAAGCAGCAGCAGATATCGAGAGATGGGAGGACCTCGGCAACATCAAGATAATGGCGCTTCTTTGTCACCAGGACATACTGAAGGGCACAGCACTAGCAGCAAAAGTGTTTTCAGTGGAGCAGGTACCAATATAGGTGTCTGCGATGTTGGACAAAAATATCACCCACGTCAAAGGGTGGATCAAAACAGCGTTGATTTGCACTCACAACCTCACTCTGACGTGCCACATCTAAACGTTGACCATTTGCAAGAAGGTTTACAGTCAAAGAGCGAAACTGAAGGCAATAGTAAAATATTGCAAATAATCGAATCGTGGAAACGGCGCCAGCAACCGTTCTCTTCGAACAATACCTTTCGGCAGCTAAGAGAGCTTTTAACCAGAGTTGACGGTTCAGCGGATTCCTCTCAAAATACTCATTCTTCGATAAGAGAGGGAGCTTTGAACAAACATTCCCAAGTGAGGCATCCTTCAACTGTTGCAAGTGCCACTCCAGTAATTTCACAAATATCCTATGGCGTCATCGGTCGGTCGACAGACGGAGAGAATGTCACACCAAAGAGAACTGCGACAGCATTAGTTATCGATCAGCGGCATTCCGTTTACGTCGATGCGACTGATTCAGTCATAGACGAAAGGAGGACGCCAGGAAATACTGGTCAGCAGTTTTCAAGCACCGGAAACACGGTTTCCGGTCGTTCATATCAGTCAGGAAATGTTGCAACTTCGTTTCCAGTTTCTTCAGATTCTACAGTCAGTGGCTGGCTGCAGGGGACTGGGCGACCAGTAAACAGTAATATTACTTCCGGTCAGCAACCAAATTTTTCCAGCAAGTTGCCACAGAACCCGGCAGCATTTTCGGATCAACGATTTTTCAACCTCGAGATGCTACCGAGAAAAACTGCTCCAAAAGTTGACAAACGATGTGTTGCAAACAATACTTTAAGTCCAGTAAATTCTCCTATAATTCCCGCCCAAACAATTCGTTCACCTCACGAAAGGAGTTTCGTAAACTCGTTCGTTAGTGGCCAGCGGAGTTGCTTTAATAAAGTGCCAGTCCAAAGCAATCCAAAATTTGCCAGCCCTAACGAGGCTACCAAACCATGCGAGGTTCCTAGCTATGGGCTAAGCGATGTTGCTGGGCCAAGCGAGGCTGCTAAGCTCTGCCAGTACGTTAAGCCATGCGAGGCTGCAACAGCCAATGGCAAAACTGGAACAGTCAATGTTGTTGAAATAATAGATTTACCTCCTGCACAAGATTCTGTACCTAGCCCTCCAAATAACGAAAAAGACTCGTGCAAGATCGTCAGTGGTCAGCGGAGTTGTATTAACGAAGTGCCATCAAGCAGCACTGCACAAGATACCAAGCTCTGTCATGTTGACAGAAATGAAACTGACGATGTAGTTGAAATAACTAGCGCACCTTTGAAAGGAGATTCCATCGATCACGTGACAGAAAACAAAGACAATTTGAATTCACAGTCAGGAGAAGATGAACAAACTCGGATTAATGCATTAAGGGCTGAACTTATGAGGAAAATTCAGAACACGGACGACAGAATTGCGCAAGAAAATATCGACTGGAAGAAGAAATATCTTAACAGACTTAAAATAGCGCTCACCAAGAAGCTGGCTAAACTTCCTGGTGTGATTGACGTCACAGTTATTGATGACGACTGATGGCTATGTTAAATCAGTTTTTAGAAAGGTTGTCCTAGAAAAGCGTACGCGACAATGCCGAAAGGTATACTGGGTATTGACCGTTCGCCTTACCCGAAAGTCACGATGAAGAGAAAATCACAAACCTCCTACTGAAACACCGGCAACTTCGATCAAACAAGTGTAAGCTAAAGCTATCCATTACTTTTCGGTAATGTCGCGTTCGCTTTTATTTTACCCTTTTTAAGGCTAACGTTCTTGAAACAGCTGAAACACAGTAATAATCACATATGCAGTATAACGTGGAGCCCCGCATAACGACTATTAGCCGTCAATACGACCACTTTACTACTACGCCCATTTTTGGCCCTACGAATACACTTCAGCAGACTTTTCCTTATTTTACGAACTTTTTATGATCTCGATCCCCTTCCCCCGCCTTTTAAATACAATCACCGTTATAGGACCCAAA